GTGTGGGGGGTCTCAGTGTGTGGGGGGTCTCAGTGTGTGGGGGGTCTCAGTGTGTGGGGGTGCTCAGTGTCTGTGGGGGGTCTCAGTGTGGGGGGGCACAGTTTGGGGGTCTCAGTGTGTGGGGGGTCTCAGTGTGTTGTGGGGGGTCTCAGTTTGGGGGTCTCAGTGTGTGGGGGGTCTCAGTGTGGGGGGGCACAGTTTGGGGGTCTCAGTGTGTGTGTGTGGGGGGGTCTCAGTGTGTGGGGGTGCTCAGTGTCTGTGGGGGGTCTCAGTGTGGGGGGGCACAGTTTGGGGGTCTCAGTTTGTGCTCTTGAGCTCGAAGCGGCTGTAGACCTGTTTGGGCTTCATCTTGTTGTACTGGTTCACCAGGTCCAGCTTGCTGTGGCCCAGAGTAAACCTCTTCTGGTCCTGCCGGCTGATGAAGCCCGGCGGGGAGGTGGGGGGCGGCGGGCACTGGCGGCTCTCCGGCTCGGGCTGACAGAGGTCCGGTCCTCCCCAGGGGGAGGTGCTGTGGGGGGAGGGGGACCTCCTGAAGTTGTACGTCTCTTTGTCTTTGGAAGACGGGGAATGGAACAAGTCCGTCAGTTTGTTGAGGAACTGGTTGGAGTTGGAGGACTGGGTCCTGGGCTTTGGGTTCAGCTTGGTGTCGATGACCGGCGGGGCTTTCTGGGTCTTGGGGTTCAGGTTTGAGTTCTGGGCGTTCTGGAACATGGCCGGTTTGTGGTCGTACAGACCCAGATCCTGAAACTTGTTAGACGTGCCGCCGATGTTGGCCCGCATCACGTCCTGGTTGGACTTGGTCCAGTCCAGGCCGATGGACTGACCGTAGGACGGCGGGGGGCGGTCAGGGATCGGGTTGTGGCCGGTCCCTCCGTTAGAAGAACCTCGTCCAGACGGGGTCTGTCCAGAAACCCGTGGTCCACCTAAACCCCTCCTCTCGGGGCTCATGTGAGACGAGCCGGCGGGGTCCTTGTCGTGTCCCTGAGTCACGCTGTAGACGTTGGTGGTCTTCATCCCGGGGGCAGCCTTGATGCTGGACACGCTGTTACTGGAGTGGCTGCTGGAGTTCTCAGAGAAGGCCCGCTGCCTGCAGACGGACCAAACATCAACATCAGGACCCTCCAGGACCACGCTTTGATCCTAAACCCAGAAACCAGCTCACCTGTCTGACAGGAGGTCCATCCCCAGGACCCCCATCCCCACGTTGACCCCAGGGACCATCATGGGCTGGAATGGGGGGAAGTACGGCGGCCCCTCCTCCTCCTGGTTGTTGAAACAGTCGATGATCTGAGAGTCGGCGTAAAGACAGCGGAACTCCCGATCAAAGCTGTCCGCCACACAACCTGAGAAGTGCATCACCATGTTGCTGTGCACCTGAGCCGAGAGCCAGGTGAAGCTGGAGGACAGAGGAGAGAGGAGACAAGGTGAGGAGACGAGGAGACAAGGTGAGGAGACAAACAGCTGAACCGTAACAGAAATCTACAGTTTGTTTTAAAGTCATCGTGGTGTAAATGTGACTGAGTTCAGCTGTTTGTCTTTAGCTGCAGGTGACCATCTTCATCATCATCATCATCATCATGTAAATGACCCCCCTCCTCCTCCAGCTGCAGAGCTTTAACCACTTCCTGTCTGACACTGAGTCAGTGACTCATCAGCTCCTCTGACAGCTGCACAGGTGGACATCAGGTGGTGCCTGAGCTCCTGCCCTTTTCCCTCCAGACCACTGAGCGCCCCTGTCGAACCGCCTTTTTTTTATGCTCCATCTGTCGCCCTTGGTTGCACTTCTTATTAAGTGTATACAACTATATCGGTGAACGCGCTGCACCCTCGTGCAGGAGGAGAGCAGCTGAAGCAGCTCCTCTATAATCAGCAGGTAATTTACCCCCCAGGTAAACTGTGCAGGACTGTCTCACATGTTTCACTCTTCTCCATGTGTCGCACAAGTTGAAACAAAGTCCTGCATTCCACTGATCAAATTATAAAAAGACATAAAAAGAAGAAAAAAAAAGAAAGAGAAACAATCGACAGACGTTTTTTATTGGCTGCAATTTACAACCATTAGAAAATGCCTCCTTATTTCTCTGCCTTCTCTGCAGGAGGAGAGGAGAGAAAAAGGCAAAGACACAGCAGCTGCCAATCAAACACGCAGCAGCGTCCTGCGCGCTGCCGCCACTAATAAATATCTAAACACGTGAAAGAAAAATGGATTTTATTTATGCAGAATGTGATGGAAACTATGTCAAAAATACAGGAAAATAATAACTGGAAAACAGGTGATGAAAGTGAAAGATGATTCTCGGAGAGAAAATGTTTTGTATAGTGGTATTAATTTATATTTTCAGATCTTCCAAGGTGCCAGTTATGGAACTCTCTGTGCATTGTTGCCCAAATCAAATTCTGGAAGTGGTCATTCAACTAGATCTGTTACAAAAGGACAACTGATATCACCAACTTTTAAAAACTGTTACAGCCAGAGGTCTTTCTTCTATGTTTATACTAAAGCATGGAATGACATTCCTCAAAACATAAAGTCCATTTCAAAACTACAGCCCTTTAAGAAGAATCTTGTCTGCCATCTGCTGGACACTTTTTGTTCTGCTCATATTTAGACGTCCTATTTTGCAAATGCTGCCTTCCTGAAATTTGGTATGCTTGTTTGTCTTTGTGTCTATGGTGTATAATGATGTTATTGTGATGCTGTAATTCTGAGTGTTTTATGTGCTGCAGAACAGGAACCTGCTGTAAAACAGCAATTATGCTGAGTCAGGCTTGATTTTTAATTATCTTTTCCTGTTAAATAAATAAATTAAATTAAAATTGCCAAACTTTTGTTCCTGAAGGAAAACACAGCGTGAAGCAACTGTCTGTAAGAGATTCACACAAGAAACACAGCTCAGATCATCTGACCTGCTTACTTCCTGTTAAGAAAATTAAGTTTGAAATTTTCAGTAATCTTTGATTTTAATGTGGAAAGAGAATTAGCTTTAGTTTTATTTTTCTGTATTTTCTTTTCATTTTAAAGTCAAACATTGAATAAATGAGTTCTTTTTAAATTTAATCTCTTTGTCAGGTTTTGTGTGCTCTAAATGCAACATAAACCATAATTGGAAAATAAAATGAGTATAATAAGAATAATTTGATTTTGTTTCAATAAATATTAACAGAAATTGTCTCTTGATCTGGACTAAGTGTGGAACTTTGGCCCCCATGTGAATTCGACCCCCCTGTGTTACAGTGTTACATTTTGACAGTATTTAGAGTCTGATTAGTTTAAATGTTGTAATTTATTGCACTGACCTTTGTCACCAAGTTGTTTCACCCAAATAAACATATTTGATATTGTTGGTGTTTTAGCTACAGCAGAGAAGCAGCTCTATGTTTTCCTGCCTTCCTCCGTCAGACACAGATGAAATGTTTAATTCAGATCATGGAAACAGCTCAATGATGGACAGACTGAAGGAAGATCCTCCACACAACAAAAAGACATTAGTCATTTTGATTATAGTTATTTTATAAACACTACAGACATTGTCTGATTTAAAATAGATAAATATGCACAATGAACAAGATGTGTCTGTAATGTGACAGTAATAGGACCCACTGGTTCTGTGCACCGGACGAGGTGCCTCTTTTTACATTTGAGCACCTGCCCCTGAAAATGTCTGTGCACGCTCCTGCTGAGCGGACCACAAAAACCAGTTCCTCTCAGTCAGGTGTTCCTGTTCTCACCTGTTACATCATCTACAGTAAACCACTGTGACATCATCGTTTTCAATTTATTTAAATTTATTTAAATGAGTTACAACATTTAATTTCCCTTTGGAGTCAATAAAGAGTTTTTGATTTAAATTAAAACGGTTTAACGTGAAAACATAAAGTTTTAATAAAAGAACTGAGCCTCAGAGTGAAACCTGTTCAACCACTTCCTGTCAGGAGTCCTGATGGACATCACATCATAAACTTTACTGCTTCACCTGATCCAGGTAACAATAAAACATCAGAAACCTGCAGAGATGAACCCAGGTGAGTTTTAACTGTCAGCAGCTTCAACAGGTTTCTGCTTTCAGCTTTAAACTCTTATCTTTCACAGTCGGCATCGTAACTCTTTAAGTTTATGACTCAGGTCTGAATAAATCACCAGCACTTCCTGGAAACAAGGATGTATTTACAGTTTATGAACTCCTGACGGTAAAACGCTTATTTTACTGTTTTCAATACAGAAAAATGAAATTATAATTCGGCTTGTTTAAAGCTCATGAGGAATTAACACTTTAATTTAATCTGGTTAAACTAAAATAATATGATGTCATTCCTCCAGGAAGTGACCTCCGGCTGCACAGGAAGTGCTACAGCTAGCTAGTAGCTATGTGAGTTGTAAATAATCACAGGACAAAGCAAATCTGATATGTTTGAACAGACTAGCCATTAGCTCATCGGTTCTGTCTATAATAAACAATAAAGAGTTATCTGCAACAGGTAAGATGCTGAGTAAAGGAGCCGGTGAAAAGGCTGTTGGGATTATTTAATCTGATCAGTTGTTATCTGCTGAGCTGTAACAGAGTTTTATTGAGCTTTCTGTCAGAGTTTCAGGAAGCTGTGAGGTGAGGAGGCGTGCTGCAGCCGATACAAACCAGCTGAACTCTTTCAGGTCTCGCCCTTCATTCCTGCAGCAGCAGAACCCGACCCAACCCTCGTCCCCTAATCCTGCAGCAGCAGCTCGTCTGCGTGCAGCACGACAGGAAGAACACAGCCCGGGGCTCTGCAGGCCGAGGCAACACGTCCTCAGCTCCTTCTGCCGCTGCGACGTGTTCGCATGAAGTTGAACAGAACAGTCCGTCACTGTCAGCGCTCCGACACCTCCCCCAGCACGGAGCGCCGCCACCGCCGCCTCCTTAAACTCACTTTCAACACTTCATTCAGACAGAAATGGAAGTTCTCACGTTATTAAAACTGAGTATTAAAACACTCAAGTTTCAACTTTGTGTCTAAAAACAGCAGAAGACAACGAAACGCCGCCGCAGCTAAGGATGAATCAGTCACAACGAGATCGTCACAAACAGTTCAGAACAAAAGAAACAAGATGGCTGCTTTCTTTACAACAAGTAGGAGCTTTGTACTGAAAACTATGAGGTCTATAATGAAGACTACTGCACAACCAGCCTCTCTAATGCTAAAGTCAGCTTCTCCAATGCTAACGCCTGCTTATCCATGCTAGTTGCTAGCCTCTGATGCTAACACAGATGAATAGTCTCATTTGCTAGCTCCAGCTGCTCAGTTAGCGGTGCCGGCCTATCATTAATCGGATCAATAGCTGGATTAGGAACAGATACAGCCTTCTGCTACAATGATGTAAACTCAACCAGGACACTCAAATCTCTTCACATCACAGTCTGTGTTCACACAGCACTCTGCTAGATACAAATCCATGGAGACTAATCAGTGCTAATCACATCCAAACAGTGACGGGACCGATCAGAGGCCGTGTGGGTGAAGACTTGTTGCAGCTGCTCTTAATTCAGGCCCTCATACCGTGCCATAGAAACCAGCAAAAAGTCTCCAGACCCAGCAGCTCTTCAGGATTTTACAACCTTTTCTTGTTTCTGCACAAATGTTCTAACTGTAAAAACATTTCCTTGTTTTTATGCTTTTATTCTGTGAAACATTTCAGGTAAACGTCTCCGCCGTCAGCTGAGAGTTAAAACCTGAGCTTTGACCCCAGAGGAAGCTGCGTCTCACCTCCCTGCCCCACCTGGAAGCACCTGGATCCGTCCCTCAGGTGATCCTCTCTCCCTGTCAGCTGAACAACGTCGCCCCTGTTCGCCTTTTTATCACAGAAATTTGCAAACGTGGCCTGTGGCTGCCTGCTCCCATGGCAGAGCTGCTTATCAGGCGCCGGCATGCAAAACAAACACTCTGAGCCGACCTGGACCTCCAGAGGCCGGTACCGCTGACGGGTTCTGTCCTGTCTCACCTGTAGGAGCCGGCGAGCACCTCTTCACAGTCGATGATCAGGAACTTCTCCAGAACCTGACCCGTGAACTTCTTGCCGCTCTTGGTGCAGTATGTGTCGCCACAAACGCTGCGGATCCTCATGTTCTGTACACACACACACACACACACACACACACACACACACACACACACACACACACTTTTACAGAAGGTCTTTTTGAAATAAACCTACAGCTGGACTCTAAAGTTCAGGAAGGTCTGTTTAAAGTAGAGGTGGTCCTGGTCCTGGGGGGCCGCAGCCCTACATGTTCCACCTGTTTCCTGCTCCAACACACCTGATTTACTCACTGAACTACCTCTTCATGTTCTGCAGTATGGAGCACCGACACTGACATAATTACAAATAAAAACAGAAATAAATAAATACATTTAAAATGCACCAAATAAATTAAAAAAGAAAACTTTACCTCATTTTATCATTTAACTGACCTTCATATTTATTTTTCCAATTTAGTTCCAATAAATATATATTTTAACACAATTTAAATTTTAATGTTTTTTAATATATATTTGACATAGATTTTCCTTTTACTTGTACATTCATTTGTGTCTCTTGAATGCTTAAATTGAATTATATTTATAATTTTGTCCAACAAGTCTTTTTATTTCTATGTGCTGCATGTTTGTGCTGCTGCAGTTTAGCTTAAAGTTTAGTTAAAATAAAAGCACAGGTAATGTTTTCCTTCTTGCCTTTGTTTTAAACTAAACTAAACTTTTAGCTAAACTGAAGCACAAACATGCAACACATAGAAATAAAAAGACTTGTTGGAAAAATATATAAAAATAATTAAGTATAAACATTTAAGACACACAAATGCAAGTTTGTACAAGTAAAAGGAAAAACTATGTAAAATATATATTAAAAAACATTAAAATTTCAATTGTGTTAAAAT